GAAGGAAGGAAGGAAGGAAGGAAAAGGAAGATGAGAAAGGAAGGAAGGAAGGAAGGAAGGAAAAGAAAGATGAGAAAGGAAGGAAGGAAGGAAGGAAGGAAGGAAGGAAGGAAGGAAGGAAAAGAAAGATGAGAAAGGAAGGAAGGAAGGGAGGAAAAGAAAGATGAGGAAGGAAGGAAGGAAGGAAAAGAAAGATGAGGAAGGAAGGAAGGAAGGAAGGAAGGAAAAGAAAGATGAGAAAGAAAGGAAGGAAGGAAGGAAAAGAAAGATGAGAAAGGAAGGAAGGGAGGGAGGAAAAGAAAGATGAGGAAGGAAGGAAGGAAAAGAAAGATGAGGAAGGAAGGAAGGAAGGAAAAGAAAGATGAGAAAGAAAGGAAGGAAGGAAGGAAGGAAAAGAAAGATGAGAAAGGAAGGAAGGAAGGAAGGGTAATGGGTGGAAGCTCCTTAGAAAGAGATCCAACCTGGAACTAAGGAGGGATTCCCAGGCGATGAGAACAATTAATTGATTGATCAATTAAAAATTAATCAGTGCAATCGCTTCTCTCTGCACTCCTGGGTTCTCCATCCCTGGAGGTTTTTAAGAAGAGATTGGACAGTCATTTGTCTGGGATGGTATAAAATCTCCAGCCTTGGGCAGGGGGTTGGACTAGATGTCCTCCAAGGTCCCTCCCTGCTCTGGGATTCTATGTTCTTTGAAGAGATTTGAGGCCTTGGGAGGGGACCGACTGGTGGGGCTCATCCTGCACCCCAAACCCTTCAGGATGGTCTGGGCAAGACGACTGACCTTCTGACAAGCAACGGGACTTCCGAAGGGGCCCGGGCTAGGAGGGGGGGACTCTCCCCCCGGGGCAAAGGGGGGGGCTTGCTCAACCTGCCCAGGAGGGCGATTAGGATCCGGGGGTGGGGAGGGCAGGTGTGGTTCGGGGCAGGGAATGTTTCCGCCAAGCGCCCCGTGGCAGAGCCAGCGGGCGCAATGCAGCCGAAGGAATTTGTGTTCTATGGCTGTGCAGCTGTTCAGTTGTGTTTATTGTATTGATGGACTACAATTAAGTCGGTGAAAGCAGCAATGTGCAGCCGTGGGCACAGCCAGCAGAGGAATTCTGGGAGTTGAAGTCCACGGGTCTTAAAATGCCCACGGTTGCAAACCTCTAGGCTAAATGGAGTTGTGTTACCCGTGCATTACTGGTAAGTGTGGCTTTGCGCTGGTTGAGCCTGGCCAGAAAAGTGGGAAAGACCACAAGCCCTGCAGAGTTGGGGTGCAGGATCAGGGTTGGGGGTCCCACTAGTGACAATAGGGGCCCAGGGTGCAGAACTGCCCCCCCCGTCCACCCCCATGTCAAAGCAAAGCCAGCAAGACTTCCTCTGCTCTCCGCTGCAGGGGGGGGAAGGAAAAGTCTGCCCCCCCTTGACTACAGTAGTCCTCTACTTACAACGGCTCACTTAGTGATTGTTTGAAGTCACAACGGCACTGAAAGACCATTTTTCACACTTGCGACCATTGCAGCATCCTCGCGGTCACGTGATCAACATTCAGCCGCTTGGCAACTGACTTGTACTTATTTATTTATTTTATTTATTATTTAAATTTATATACCGCCCTATCTCCCTTACGGGACTCAGGGCGGTGAACAGGCAATAATAAAAATCACAATAAATATTGAATAAAAAGCCTGCTCTAAAAATACCCCATATAAAACCCCTAGCAAAGCCCAATCAAAACTACGCCAGGCCGGCCACACGGAATAGATGGGCCTTCAGGGCTCGGCGAAAAAGGCGCAGGTCCGCAGTTGTACGTAGGTCGGGGGGTAGGTCATTCCAGAGGGCAGGAGCTGCCACAGAGAAGGGTCTCCCCCTGGGGGTCACCAGCCGGCATTGACTGGCCGACGGCACCCTAAGGAGGCCCTCTCTGTGGGAGCGGACTGGTCGAAGGGAGCTGTTTGGTAGGAGGCGGTCTTGCAAATACCTAGGTCCATTGCCACGGAGCGCTTTAAAGGTTGTTACTAACACCTTGAAGCGCACCCGGAAGGCCACCGGCAGCCAGTGCAGCTCGCGCAGGAGAGGTGTTACATGGGAGTATCTAGAGCAGTGGTTCTCAACCTTTTTAATGCCGCGACCCCAACCGGTCGTAAGTCAAGGACTAAACCAGTCGTAAGTCAAGGACTACCCAACCGGTTGTAAGTCGAGGACTTTCCCTGCCCGGGAGCGCCGCGCATGCGTGGTTCCGCCCCCTGCGCCGGCCGAGGCGTAGCTGGCAAGCGGCAGAGACGGAGCAGGCCGACCACCAGCTGGCCCAGCCCAATTGAAGTAAGGCACCCGCCGGAAAAGGGAAAAAAAAATGGACCAAAAAAAATGGCGGACAGCCTTGCTTGGCGACCCCCATGAAATGGTCGATCGACCCCAAATGGGGTCCCGACCCACAGGTTGAGAACCACTGATCTAGAGGGCCCCCAAAATCCCCCGCGCGGCCGCATTCTGAACTAGCTGGAGCCTCCAGGTGCACCTCAAGGGGAGCCCCATGTAGAGAGCGTTGCAATAGTCCAGGCGGGAAACGACGAGGGCTTGAGTGACCGTGCGTAGGGCGTCCCGATCCAGAAAGGGGCGCAACTGGCGTATCAGGCGTATGACGGTTGCAGTGTCCCTGGGGGTGTGTCACGTGAACCCCTTTTGCGACCGTCTGACCGTCCAAGTCAACGGGGGAAGCTGGATTCACTTAACAACCGTGTGACTAATTTAACCCCTGCAGTGATTCACTTAACGACCGTGGCGAGAAAGGTCGTAAAATGGGGCAAAACTCACTTAACAACTCCATCCTGCTTAGCGGTGCAGATTGTGGTCGTGATCTGAGGACGCCCTGTATGTTCAACACCCTCCGATTCACACAGAGTGGCAGCTGCCCAGGTAGGACTGGCTGAAAACCGCTTTATTGGCCAGAGTCCCTGTTTCCTTGTGTCCGGGGAGACCCCCGGGGCCGGCCCTGGCCTGAGCCTCCGCAGCCCGGCTGAGAGGGAAAGGCCAGGCCGGGTTCAGGGCAGGCAGCTGTGTCCAGATGTTGGGGGGAGCCTGGCCCGGAGGGGGGACTTTCAGAATGGCTGTGGCTGGCACAGAAACCCCCTAAGCTGCCGGTCCATCAGTGGGCACACCGGCAGCCCCCCACGCCTTGTGCCAGCCCGTCTCCAGCGCCTGCTGACCGTGAGCTGCTTAGAAAGGAGATAAATTCTCGCTCGCTCGCCACGGCAGGCCGAAATCCTTCAGGGCAAGCGAGGCTGGTGCCCAAAGGTGCCCATTCGCAAAAGCTGGCAGCGCACCAATGCCCGTCGTCCAGGGCTGGGCCAGTCTGAGCCGCTTTGTGCCCCCAGCGGCGAGGCAACGGGATGCCCGAGAAGCCATGGCGGGGCAAGCAGCTCTGAGTTCGGGTGTCCCTCTTCCTCCCGTCAGCACTGAGTGGCGTTGGGGTGTGCCCAGGCTGGAAACTGGTGGAGGTTGAACATGGGGATGCCCCAGGTGTTGATGGCCAGCATGATGGTCAGGACGCCCAGGATATTCAGCATGAACCCGGCTTTGACCTGGAGGGCGAGAAAGAGCAGCTGGGAATCCAGCAGGGAAGGCCCTCCGAGCCTCCGTGTCCCAGGGCAGTCTACCTCAGGCGGCTTTGGGAAGGAAAGGGGGACGGCTCCCCCAGCCCAGGAAAGTGGCTCTGACATCTGATACTATTCAGAGAGGAGCTGCCTATGACTGGAGGCTCCATGTCCTTGCAGCTATGGAGAAGGAAGCGACAGGGCGGGCTAGTTGGGCCCTGCGGACGGTGGAGGATGGGCTCTGTTTCCGCCGGGCCAGGAAGGGACCCCAGTTTCACCCCCAAGGGACGGGGCTCACCATGTCGATGACCTGGAGGTTGCCGTAGGAGAAGACGATGGCGTTGGGGGGGGTGGCCACCGGCAGCATAAAGGCCAGGGAGGCCGCGAGGGTGCAGGGCAGCATCACGTAGAGCGGGTTGAGCTGGATGGCCTGGGCCTGCGGGGGGTGGGGGTGGGGTGGGGGCAGAGAGGGTCTCAGCATGGGGGAGGGGAGAAGGGCCTGGAAGCCTCCCCTCTCCCTCCCTCCTTCCTTCCTTCCTTTTCCTTTCTTTCTTCCTTCCCTTTCTCATCTTTCTTGCTTCTTTCCTTCCCTCCCTCTCTTCTCCCTTCCCTCTTTTTCTCCTTCCTTTTTCTTTCCTTTCCCTTCCTTCCTTTTTCCTTTCTTCTTCCCTCCCTCCCCTCCCTCCTTTCTTTTCTTTCTTCTCCTTTTTCTTTTTCCTTTCCCTCTCTCCTTCCTTCCTTCCTTCCTTCCTTTTTCTTTCTTCCCTTTATCTTCTTGCTTCTTTCCTTCTTTCCCTCCCTCTTTTCTCCCTTCCCTCTTTTTCTCCTTCCTTTTCCTTTGCTTTCCCTTCCTTTCTTCCTTTTCCTTCCTTCTTTTTTCCCTTCTTCCCTCTCTCTCTTTTCTCTTCTCCTTTTTCTTTTTCCCTTCCCTTTCTTCCTTTTCCTTTCTCCTTTCTTCCTTCCCTTTATCTTTCTTGCTTCTTTCCTTCCTTCCTTTCCTCCCTCCCTTTCTTCTCCCTTTCCTCCTTCCTTTTCTTCCTTTTTCCTTTCTTCTTCCCTCCCTCTCTCTCCCTCCCTCCCTTCTCCTAATATTCCATTCTTCCTACATTCTCTTAATCTTTCTCCTTCCTTCCTTCCTTTTGTTCCCCATTTCCCTTTCTTTTCCCCCTCTCCCTCCCTCCCTCCCTCTTTTCTTTCTTCTTTTTCTTTTTCCTTTCCTTCCTCTCTCCCTTCCTCCCTTCTCCTAATGTTCCATCCCTCTTACATTCTCTTAATCTTTCTCCTTCCTTCCTTCCTTCCTTCCTTCTCCTTCCTTTTGTTCCCCCCCTTTTCAATTCTTTCCCCCCTCTCCCTCCCTCCCTCCCTCGGACGCCCTTCGGGGGGGGGGCTGGGAAGGCCCCGGCCAAGCGGCAGAGGGGGGGTCCCCCGCCCAGCCGCCGCCCCCTCCTCACCATGGAGGCCAGGATGGGCAGGAAGAGGGTGGTGGTGGCCACGTTGCTGGTGCACTCCGTGAAGACGGCCACCAGCAGGGAGAGCAGGAAGGCGATGGCCGGGTGGGGGATGTTCTGCAGGGGGGTCAGCTTGTTCCCCAACCAGCCGGACAGGCCGGAGGCCTGGAAAAGCCCCCAGAGGAGCGGTGAAGTTAATAGAGTTAATCCCCCGCCCCTCCCCCGACTCCCCCCCCACCAGAGGCTGCCCCCCCTCCGCCGCCGCCGCCGGGTCGCCCGGACTTCCCACGCGCGGTCAGCCCCGCCCGCGCCCAGCTCCGTGGCCGACGGCCCGGCTTCGGCGAGCCTCGGGCGCCCCCCGGTGGCGGGACAGGGCATTGCTCCGGCCGAACCGGGGCTCTGCGCGCGGAGGGGGCGGCGAGGGTCCTCCGGGTGCCCAACAGGCGGCCCGCGGGCGACGACGGGAAGGAAGGAAGGAAACGCCCCCCGCCCGCTCCGCCTCTCGGGTCCCAACCGGGCTGGGGGCGGCCCCTCACCTCGCTGCCTTTGGCCAAGGCGAAGCCCCCTCCCAGCAGGATGACGATGTTCCAGGGCATGTTGCGGTTGACCGTGGTCCAGTCCAGGAGGGCGGGGGGCGCGCGGATCCGGCCCGGGCTGCCTGCAAGGGAAGTGGGGAGCGGGCAGTGGGGTGCAGCACCGGGGAGTGGGGGGGGTCTCCAACGTTGGGGTATGCACAGGCTACACGCGAGGAGCGGAGCCCCGCGGCTCCCCTCTAACTCTGCTCCAGGAAGTCTGGGGGAAGCGCCAAGCCTCCCTTAGGGGACCCCCCAAAAGAGCTTTTTCACAAGGCAACTGGACTTTACTGCTTTTTCCTGGAAGAACTTTCCCTTCTCAGCCCAAGAAGCTTCTTCGGTTCTTCTTCGGTTCCATTCTCCCCTATTCAGTCAGAACCGAAGAAGCTTCTTGGATGAGAAGGGAAACGTCTTCAAGGAAAAAAGAAAGTCCGGGTGCCTTTAGGAAAAGCTCTTTTGGGACAACTCTAGCCTGGATGGTTGAGACTCTCCAGGGGGCCATCTCACACACCCCCCCCAGGAAACCCAATTCCCTTTGACACCCCCCCACCTGGTGGTACTGTGTTGTCTTGAGGGGAGGGTCCTCACAAGAGGCAGAAGCCCCTCCAGTCAAGATGGGAAAAGTCACCCCATTTCACCTCCCCTCTCAGTTTCCATCCCTAATGGGCAAAACTGGGTTGATTTGGTCAGAGGTGATCTTACGTTTTTCTTACTTTTTTAGGGGTGGGGGAAAAAGTCAGGGGTCTCCAAACGTGGCCACTGTAAGACTCGGGACTATGCTGGCTGGGGAATTCTGGGAGTTGAAGTCCACAAATCTTACGGTGTTCAAATTTGGAGACCCATGTAAAAAAGATGCTGAGACTCTAGAAAGAGTGCAGAGAAGAGCAACAAAGATGATTAGGGGACTGGAGGCTAAAAGATATAAGGAACGGTTGCTGGAATTGGGTATGTCTAGTTTAACGAACAGAAGGATGAGGGGTGACATGATAGCAGCCTTCCAGTATCTCAGGGGCTGCCCCAAAGAAGAGGGAGTCAAGCTATTCTCCAAAGCGCCTGAAGGCAGGACGAGAAACAATGGATGGAAACTCATCAAGGAGAGAAGCAATCTAGAACTAAGGAGAAACTTCCTGACAGTGAGAACAATTAACCAGTGGAACCACCTGCCTCCAGAAGCGGTGAATGGTCCAACACTGGAAGTTTTTAAGAAGAACCTGGACAGCCCTTTGTCCGAAATGGTGTAGGGTTTCCTGCCTGAGCAGGGGGTTGGACTCGATGACCTCCAAGGTCCCTTCCAACTTTATTATTATTATTAAGTCAATGGGGTTTACAGATTTTTCCTGGGATCATCCTAAATCTAAACTCCAAATTCTGTAATTCCAAATTCTGAAATGTTCTTCTCTCTCTCTGCCCCCCCCATTTGTTTTTGGTTAGTGTGTGTGTGGGGAAGAGACCCACAATTCTCCCTCCTTGGCTGAAAGACCAGTGAACCTGGACCGCTGAATCGTTATTCGACTGCTAGCAAAGAATCACAGATGATGCAGGAGGAGGATGTGTCCCACTAGGTCCCTTCTGATTTCGGGGTCCTGTCAGGTGCCAGCCCAGGCTAGGAGCTCCAGGGCCCCCTTGCTTGAGCCTTCCCAGGGGGTCTGCCAGGAGGGCGCCCCCAGGCCATCGCTAGAGGTTTTTAAGAAGAGACTGGATAGCCATTTGTCTGAAATGGTATAGGACGGTTCTCCTGCTTGAGCAGAGGGCTGGACTAGAAGACCTCCAAGGTCCCTTCCAGCTCTATTCTATTCCTGAAGGCCATTCCATAATAATAATAATAATAATAATAATAATAATAATAATAATAATAATAATAATAATAATAATAATAATAATAATAATAATAATAATAATAATAATAATAATAATAATAAAGTTGGAAGGGACCTTGGAGGTCATATAGTCTAACCCTCTGCTCAGGCAGGAAACCCTATACCATTTCGGACAAAGGGCTGTCCAGTCTCTTCTTAAAAACTTCCAGTGTTGGAGCATTCACCGCTTCTGGAGTCAGATTGTTCCACTGGTTAATTGTTCTCACTGTCAGGAAGTTTCTCCTTAGTTCCAGGTTGCTTCTCTCCTTGGTGAGTTTCCATCCGTTGCTTCTTGTCCTGCCTTCAGGGGCTTTGGAAAATAGCTTGACTCCCTCTTCTTTGGGGCAGCCCCTGAGATACTGGAAGGCTGCTATCATGTCCCCCCTCGTCCTTCTCTTCATTAAACTAGACAGACCCAATTCCAGCAACCGTTCCTTCTATGTTTTAGCCTCCAGTCCCCTGATCCCCTTCCCCTAGTCCCCTTCCACTGCTTCCTCTGCCAGCCTGTCTGTGCCAGCCTGGCACTCTCCGCTTACCTTCGTCCTGGGCCCTGGAAGAGCACCTGGGCATTTCGGAGGGGATCAGGAACATCAGCAGCGAAATGAACATGACCACCGTGGCGTCCGTGATGTAGCTGTAAGACGGAGTCCAGCGTCACTCAGACACACACACACACACACCCCGTTGAGACGAGGTTGGAGGGAGAGGCCTGAAGGATGGGGGGAGGGTCTGCACCTGCCTCAAAGGCAGCCACAGGGGGTGGGGGGGGCAGGGGGAGAGGAACCCAAGGAGCTCCGAGTCCTCCGCCCGGCCCAGGCCCCCTCCTCACCTCTTCCCCCTCTGGCTGAAGAGGGCGTTGGCCCAGCCGGGCATAAAGCCTGGCTCCCGGGTGAACCAAAGGACCACCAGGGCGATGAAGAGGATGAGGACGGCCACTTCGGAGAACTTCATCCGGCCCAGCGCCCGGTACTCGCTCTTAATGATGCTGTACGCCTGCTCGGACTTCCGCTTCTCCGCCTCGCTGGTGCCGCAGCCGAAATTCTTCTTGAAACTGGGAGGGGGGGCAGAGGGGAAAGGGTGTGGGGCAGGGGCGGGGGCTTCCCTTCTCCCCCCCCTCCCCGTGCCTTGTCCTGGAAGGGTCCCTTGTCAGGGGGCATCCCTGGGCAGGCTGGGCTGCCTTCTCACTCCGTCCGCTCAGGGTCCCTCCGCCTGGCACCCCTTTGCGACTGGGCGGCCCCCAACCCAATTAAGAGGGGAGGAGGGGGATCAGTTGCTTCTTCTGCAAGACCCCCCCACCCCCACCTCCTCCCCCCAGAGACTCACTCCAAGCCCAGGAACATCACCAGCAGCCACAACCAGGAGAGGATCAGCAGCACCAACATGGCGGGGAAAGCGAAGATGAACCACGAGCCAAAGTTCACCGCGTTGTCGTTGCGGCAGAAGAGTCTGGTGAGGAGAGACCCCCGTCACTGTGCCCCCTGGAAGGCCTCCCCCCCTCATAGCCCCTTCCCCCCAGAAACTGCCTCAGCCTCAGCTGGCCTGCGGGGGGGGAGATGCTGGGAGTGGAAGCCCACCCCTCTTAAAGCGAAGAAAGGCTGGTCTGCGGGTGGCACAACGGCAGTGCCAGGAAACGCGCCGCCCTCAGCCGACCGTCTCCCTTTGAGGGGTCCAAAATGAGGAGAAGTTTCCTGACTGTGAGGACAATTAACCAGTGGAACTGCTTGCCTCCAGAAGTGGTGGGGACTGCATCACTGGAGGCTTTTAAGAAGAGACTGGACAGTCCGAAATGGTCTAGGGCAGGGGTAGGCCACCTTGGCTCTTTTATGACTCGTGGACTTCAACTCCCAGAATTCCTCAGCCAGCAAAGCTGGCTCAGGAATTCTGGGAGTTGAAGTCCACGAGTCATAAAAGAGCCAAGGTGGCCTACCCCTGGTCTAGGGTTTCCTGCCTGAGCAGGGGGTTGGACTGGATGACCTCCAAGGTCCCTCCCAGCCCTATGATTTCTATTTCTATTTCAACAGCTGGTGCAGTGCAATGGAAGCTTTACACTACAGCCGGTGTCTCCAACTTTTAAGACTTGTGGACTTGTGGACTTCAACTCCCAGAATCCCCTAGCCGGCTGGGGAAGTCTGGGAGTTGAAGTCCAGAAGTCTTAAAGCAGCCAAGTTAGGAGACTGCTGCCCTACAGAATAATGGAATTGGAAGGGACCGTGGAGGTCTTCTAGTCCAACCCCCTGCTCAAACAGTCAAGCAAAAACGCCCATCCTCTCCACACAGGTGCCCCACACAGTCATGCCTTTGGGGCTGGGGGGGGGTCTCTTCTGCAGAAGCGGAGGATCCCCCACCCCTTAAATGAGGGGCTTCTGCTAGCGGGCAGAGACCAGGCAGGGCGAAAGAGGCCACCAGCAGCGGGTCTGGAACGGGGGGGAGGAGCGACGGGGAAAGTGGGAGGGGGGCCCTTGTGGACCACCACCCCTAAAAACTCTGGGGAAGGAACCGGGAAGGGGCCCTGCCTGGAAAGACCCGGCAAGGGGGGAGCCCCGTGCCGGGAACGCCGGGGAGCCTTACTCGTCCATCTGCCCCTTCATGACCAGGTTGGGGGTGGTGCCCGTCAGGGTGGCGATGCCGCCGATGCTGGCGGAGTAGCAGACGGCCAGACTCATCCCCTTGGAGAAGATCTCGTGCTTCTGTTGTAGCTGCTCGTGGTCTTCGTCCAGCTTCGGGCCGGGCTCCTCGGGGACCTTCTCCTTCATCACCACCTGCACGTGGGGGTTCCCTGGGGTGCCACGAGAGGGGAGAAGGGCCCGTCAGCCAGCTGGGCGGGAGGGCAGGCGGGCTCCGGGGGGGCCCCCCGATCGCTAGGGCAGAGGTCAAGGGGGGAGGCAGGCCAGCCCTGCGTGACCCCCGGACTCTGCCGCTTTGCCCACCTGGCAGAGGAGGGGCCTCCTGCATCTCGAAGGCCCGGTTGAGGGTCCCGTTCTGGGCGGCCGCCCGCTTCGCACTGCTCTGCTCCAGCTCCGACTTGTGCAGCTGCTGGAGGACCGCCTGGGCGATGGGCACCATCATGGCGGTGGTGGCCGTGTTGCTGATCCACATGGAGAGGAAGGCCGTCACGCCCATGAAGCCCATCAGGAGCCTGGAGGAGGGAAGGAGAGAGGGAGGGAGGGAGGGAGGGAGG